TATTTTATTGGGTAATATTTTAATTGATAATGTTGTTTGTTTTTCAGCTGTGCTGTCTCTGCTGTCCTTTTTTGTTCTTTTGATTGATTTGTAATTTTGTTTTGGTTAGTCCGTCCAGCCGTAGAGGCGGTTATTGATTGAGAGTAAGTTGTGTAAGGGCGGACTAACCTCCCTTTTGTTTTTCTATTTAATTGTTTGTGCCACTTCCCTTTATCTCTCAGATCACAGGCCATACATGGCACTGATTCCCAGCTGCACTGAGACCCGAATTGTTTGCAGTGTGTGCCACGATTGCAGTGTCGCTAAGCGGGGTGTGACGGGTTGCAGTGTTATTTTCACAGTTTGTGTGGCAAGTCTCATGTGCAGCTGGGATATCAGCAGGATGTGTTGTAAGTCCTGTCTGGAAATGACTGGGAATTATTATGTCTAATTTATGTAATAAATAAACGATCAATTTATTTCTTTGCCCCGTTTACTTATCCTTTGTCCTCGGTTACACAAAGTTGATGAAAGACAGAGAGGGAGAGCGAGCGACAGATTTTCTGTTATAACCTTCATTTTATGGAGGCACAGTGTGAGCACTCGGGTCGCATCAGAGCATCGGGTCGTATAGTGTGAGACCTGCATCGTTACCTACCAACTTCTAACCCCTGCTTCTAACTTCTAACTTCCAACTTCTAACCCCCCATCGTACAGTTTGAGCAGGAGCTGAATCGCGCGACTGAAAAAATCGCACAGTGTAAGCCCAGCTTAAATCGTAGCAGGAAGAGGTGGAGCAGGATGTGAGTATGAAACTTGCTGTCGGAAACAAACTCGGTGCAGAGACAAAACAAAGACTGTTCTGCTTCAAAGACTGTAGCACAAAGTGTTCATACATGACAACTGACACATGAAACAGGTTAGAATTTTTTCTGCGGAGATTAACAACTGAACACATGACACTTCCTTTTGCCTTAAACCTATTTTGTTGTTTCCATTCGGTTCGATCTGCAGTGAGGTGTATCAAACGTCACTGTGACGTAGCTTCCTTAGAAAACAAAAGCTTGGTCTGAGCCAGCAAACAGTGGCTTTCTGTTTTCTTTAAAACTTAAATTTAATAATGCCAGCAGACTCCGACATTTACAACAAACTTGGTGTCAGATCAGCAGAAACAGAGAACATGGAAACTTCTGTAAGAGCCATGGAATCGGAAGTGTTCAGACCGATCGAGTGGCTGAACAACAAAACGTTCAGCTTTATTTAAACCTTAAAGTTATTCTGATATAGTCAGGTTTAAACTCGGGTTCAGTTATTCAGTGAAAATACCGACAGACTCAGACATTTAGAACAAACTAAGAGTCAGATCAGCAGCAACAGAGACACGGAAATGTCTGCTGTAACTGCGTCACTCTGCTCCACTTTGATGTTTGTCGTGTTCGTCTCTGCAGGTGAGATTTAACCCGTATTAATAAAGCAAGAAGGGTCTCTTTGAGATAAAACAGGAAACATCAGCTGCAAAAATATTTCCCAAAGACTAATTTTCATATTGATTCAGTCCTTTCGTGTATGTGAAGCAGACGTGATGCTGGGTTGGTCTGTGTACAGTTTCCAGCACAGAGACAAAGAAGTGTAATGTGTGTGTCAGTGTGATGTGTTGTAGTTTCAGGAGTCAGGATGCAGCTACAAAGCTTCTTGTTCAGTGTACACAAACAGCTGTAGCTCCATAAAGGCAGCATGCAGAGACTCGCAGTGTCTTATAATGAGAGGCTGCTTTCTCTCACACATTATGTTCACTTATTATCAGCACATGTTGTTGTTTGTGGAAGCTGCTGGAGTGGAGTCTTTCCAAAATGATCTTCTGCTGATATGAAAGCATTTCTGAGAAATGCAGAGGATCAATCACTTCATTACAGCAGTTATTGTTCTTCCTTTAGATCCTACTTTTAAAGCAGTGACGGTGAAAAATTTGATTTGATAAAAGTGACCTTCACTGTAATTGGCTGCTGTAGAGGTGAGCAGTTGTATGTTGACCTTTAACCTCTCTGCTCTGTGTTGTTTCCTCTTTCAGATGAGAAAAACATCACAGCGGAGTTTGGACACGACGTAATTCTGACATGTCAAGTTAGAAACGACAACAAAAAGATCATAGTTGTAGAGTGGAGCAGAGCTGACCTGGAGCCACAACATGTCCTTTTGCAACGGAATGAGCAGTTTGTTCCAGATGGTCAGCATCCATCTTTTAAGAACCGGGTGGATCTGCAGGACAGACAGATGAAGGATGGAGACGTGTCTTTGATTCTGAAGGATGTGACGATTAATGATGCTGGAACATACGAGTGTCGTGTTCAGAGACAGAGAGAAAGTTTAAGTCTCATCAGCACTTTTTACCTGAGTGTTGTTCCTCCAGGTGAGTGATCAGAGGTGAAGCTGTGTCCTTGCTTGTTGTTTACTGATTATAAGTTGGAGGATATTGAGTGCTGAGCTAACGCTAAATCAGGGGATATAGAAAATGGTACTTATTGCTACCGCTAGCTTGAGAGTTAGAAGGGCCTGCATGTCTTAAATGTGTAAGCCTGGTGAACAGTGACTGTCAATAATTCTACTGTTGTGGCACCGATCCTGTAGCACATAAGAACAGAGCACACCACTACTTTCCTTACCATGAGGGGATACAGGTGGGATGCTGACTGTCCAATTCGAAGTAAAGTCCAGGTTCAGGCTGAGGCCGATGTCTATTAGTTACTGACAACTGAGAGTGATCAGTGTGTTGCAGGTAAATGCAACAAAAAGAAAAAAAAACAGCAAAAGAAAATACACAAAAGGTGCACAGTAGTTGGGAGCACTGTCCCTCTGTGAAGTTGGGGCGTCAATCTTGTCCCACCAGTTGGCTTTCAGAGCAAGTAAGTCTATGGAGGATGCCATCACCCTTCACAGACCACTGAGCCATATGAAGAACAGGAAGAGCTATGTTAGAATACTGTTTGTGGACTACATCTCAACGTTCAACATCATAATACCAGACTTCCACCAAACGGGACCACCTTCAGATCCCCCCCCTACCACCTCCTCCTGCTTAAAGACTTCCTAAGCAACCAACCTCGATCAGTCGACTAGGCTCTCACCTCTGTCCCACACTGTCACTCAGCACCAGATCCCCATAGGGCTGTGTTCTAAGCTCTCTACTGTATGCCGTGTACACCTATGACTGTACAACAACCCACCTGGACCCACAGGAAGAACAGCAAGTTTGTGCAGAGGGTTATTATCACTGCCCAAAAAATCATTGGCTGCCCTCTGCCACCTCTGGAGACCATCGCCAGATCCTCGTGTCTGAGTAACCCCCATAACTCAGGTCACTCACACATGGACTATTCAGACAAAGTCTTTTCTTTGCAATACTTTGAAGGACTTTGCAACTATTTTGTTCTTTAATATGTGCCTTTCTCTTATTGTTGTATATATTCTTACTGTCTGCTATTTATATTTTATTCCAGCACAATTGGTGTGTAGCACCCACAAATTCGTTGTACATGTACAACAACAATAAAGGGCTATTCTATTCTATCCCTGTTTTTATGTTTGTTTTTTCTGAACACCTCCCACCTGTTTCTTACCTGCAGGTCAATCAGGAGGACACAAAGAAGATAGAAGGAACAAAGATGGAGGGAAGGAGGATGGCTCGGTTGGACTGATAGTTGGTCTGTCAGTTTCTGCTGTGCTGCTTGTTGTTGTTGTTGTTGGATTTTTGATCTACAGAAGACTTCAACAACGACAGAGTCAGGATTCATACCAGCCTCCTGTTGAACTGCAGCTTGTTTGAAATGAACTCTGAGTCTCCTGCTGCTGTTCAGACTCTCAGTGTTGTCAGTGAACATTCAGGTACAGACAGATGATCTGATCATCCAGCAGACAGACATCAAATTTGTAATGGAAACAAACACACAGAAATTAATTAACCATAACATTAAACTATGGAAATTTCTGTTTGCTCAGGGATACAAGTAAATCTACCTAACTATATGTTAATTTAGCATCTTAATCAACCAAAAAAAATATGATTTAGTTAGTGTTTGTTTGTTAAACTTTTGTTGTAAAATAGCAAATTTGAAATTTCATGGATAACAATAATTATACTTTAACATTAAATTTTTTTTTATTAATCCACAGGTGTTGTTGTTGAGGTTACTTTTTCGTTATGCCATGTTTACCAGTAATGCTGTTTGCAGTTTAAATTAAATTGTGTGTCTGTAAATATATGTTCATTTATTTTGAAATCATTTGTACTTTTGAAATATTTTTTTATGTAACTTCATTATTTTTGTTTGGGAAATGTTTTGGTTTATTTGATTTGTATTATGTTTGTGTAGATCAGAATCAGAATACTTTATTAATCCCTGAGGAAATTATGAGTGAGATTATTGAGTGAATGGATTCATTACTAACTGCTAGAAATAATATTAAAGTTGTCAAAGTCAACTTTATTTGTCAATTCTGCCACATGTACAGGACATACAGAGAATAGAAACTTCGTTACTCTCAATCCCTAGATAAAATAGCAAATGAACATTTAAATATAAGAGAGTGATTAAAAATGCAAGTAAAATAATTAAAAAGTAAAAATTTAAATGAATACAATACAATTTTACATATAACAAGAAAGCTATACAATATTCAGGTAAGGGTAAATGACATTGAGTGTAAACCAGGCAGAGTAGTGCAAATAGGCAAATAGTGCAAATGGAGATTTAGTGCTGTACGGTAAGAGATAGTATAACAACAAAGTCTTATGAGGTAATGGCAGTCCAATGCTCCACAAAGTGACTGGTAACTGGTGCAGGCCAGTGAGTGAGTCAGTGTGTGTGTGTGTGTGACAGAGTTCAGTGAGACCGTGGAGGGGAGAGGGGGCAGAATCGGGAGGGAGTTAAGTTTCCTGACAGCCTGATGGATGAAGCTGTCCTTCAGTCTGCTGGTCCTGGCCTGGAGACTCCGCAGTCTCCTCCCTGACGGCAGCAGCTTGAAGAAGCTTTGCATTGGGTGCGTGGGATCAGCCGCTATGCAAAGGGCTTTTTTAGTGCTGTAAATGTCCTGGAGGGAGGGGAGAGAGACACCAATGATCCTCTCTGCAGCTCTCACTATGCGTTGGAGGGTTCTATGACAGGACGCATTGCAGGCTCCAAACCACACAGTGATGCAGCTCGACAGGATGCTCTCGATGGTGCCTCTGTAGAAAGTGTACATGATGTGGGCTGGTGCTCCTGCTCTTCTTAGTTTGCGGAGAAAGAAGAGACGCATGCAACACTCTCTGAAATTAGAGCTATACAGCACCTTTTACAGTAAGCTGAAGGAATATATCTCTGTCCCTGTCTTTCCCTCCCTCTAGTCTGTCTTTCTCAGGCCTTGGTGTTCATCTGCAATCAGAAGCACAGTTAGAGTCAGATTCTCTCTGTTTATCCACACTTTCACAGAACTGACTGACGGGATCCCTTTGTCAGTTGTAACTCAATGACTAAGTATTACAGTGTACACTGTCATTAAAATAAAGGGAAAAATGTAGCTGCAGAGTCAGATGTTTCCTCCCTCGATCCTTGAAGCTTTATTTAAATCTTCCTTCCATTGTGGAAGCAGATTTCTTATCTGTTGTATTAATCACATATTTAATCATTTCACATTATTAATAGTAATTTCACTTTCTTACTTAGTTGTATGCATGTTTACTACAGAGGGGCTTTATGCTCTACACACACAGTGAGACCATTGTAATAGGAGACGCTAAAAACATAACAACGTGAGAGGGGCCAACGTGTAAGAGTTTGTGGAATGTTCTTTGTCTGTGTGTCTGTATATAAGATGTAAGGGTGGTTTTCCACAATTCAGAGATGGTCCTGGTGTTTCACTGGGATGCTCTCTCCACACAAGCTTTATTCAAATCTTCTTTCCATCCATCCTCTCCTAGATATCCTTGTCATGGTGGGGGCTGGATCCTATCTCAGCTACCACTGGGCGAGGGGAAGGGTACACCTTAGACAGGTTGCCAGCCTGATGCAGGGCTAACACATAGAGACAGACAACCATTCACACTCACATTTACAACTATGAGCAATTTAAATTCACCAATTAGCCTAACTCCACTAACCTTTTAACTCTTCCTTGCATGAGAAAAGATCGTCAGTCTGTTACTTTAACTTGAACATTTCAAGAACTGTTTACACTCTGGTGATTTTTTTTCATTCATAACATTACTTAACAATACTTAAGATGTGCATATATTGGCACTGGATGTTTGTAGTTATTATTCATTTGTTTTATGTGGCTGTAAAAAGTTTTCAGATCTGTTCAACCAGCTGATCCAGATGCTTTGTGGTCTAGAATTAGCCCAAATAAACTGCTGAGCAGGCAAGAAGAACAGAGGTAACCAAGAAAAACATTCAAATCATTTTGAGACTGTCCCCATGGGATGAGAATTAGCATAGTGGAGTGCTAATTTATCAGCTAATGCTAATTATCTTTGTTTATCATCCTCCACCCATAGACTGTACTTAGACTCTGTACATGACAGATAAACTCCATTTCTTAGTTTGTATGTCAGTTCTATCTCTTTTTTTTCAGTACACAAACTGCTCGTTGCTAAAAGGGGAAGAATATCCAGGCAGCATTCAATCACTTTGATCTGTATTCCAAATACTAATGATATTTCTTAAAACTATGTTAAGAAAAAGTGAAACATTCTTTATCAATATATTTGCTGAGTTTGCAGTCGTTGTTGTTGTTTTGTTTTTTTTTGCTTTAAAAAAACCAACACTCCTAAAACTTTGCACATGTGTGGATCAGCAGACTGTAAGCAGACAGTACTTTTTACTGCTGATTGTGTTTGTGAAATATGTTCAGTCTACTATGGAATCAAAGGAGCTTGCAAAGAAAGGCGTCTGGACTTCTTTAAGTTGCTTGAAGACGTTTCACCTCTCATCCGAGAAGCTTCTTCAGTTCTAAGGTCAAATGGTGGAGAGTCCCAGATATCTGGGAGGTGAAACGTCTTCAAGCAACTTAAAGAAGTCCAGACGTTTCACCTCTCATCCGAGAAGCTTCTTCAGTTCTGAACAGAGAACTGAAGAAGCTTCTCGGATGAGAGGTGAAACATCTTAAAGCAACTTAAAGAAGTCCAGACGCTTTTCTTTGCAAGCTCCTTTGACTACGATGACCTGGATGACTGAGAACCTCCACAGATCTACTATGGAATAAACAATTTATTCAGAAAGGTGACTGAACTCCACAGTCAAAGAGTCCATTGTTCATATATTTGAAATAGAGTAAACAGCCATTTTTTTTAGAAACAGCACATGCTCAGCATCCCAAAAGAAACTGCGGAAGTGTCACTGATTATCTGCTTGTATCGATGTCAGTATTTTAGGTAAAACATCTCCCTCTAGTGGGAGGATGGTGTTAATGTAAAATGTGAATATTTATTATTTAGGGTTTTTTTGTTTGTTTTGTTTGTTTTTATCTATAACGTTTTTACACGTTTTACTCTTCAATGTTTGTCTTGTGGCTGTAAAAGTTTCCTGACCTGCTGTTTGAGTGTGTGCAGATTTGATCTCACCTTAAATGTAGCCGTGTGAACATTTATATATTTAATTGAAACCTTGCCAGTTCATGAGATATGAGCATGAGTGTGTTATTGAGCACAACACTGTATACAGTTTTTGGTTATTAACATCTTAGTGTCTACTATATGGTGCTTGTTCTAGTTTGGTAGCATATGGAACAAGCCAATAATCACATTAAATTATTGGAACATTATTGAGAATACTTACAAGTTGATTGTTTGTTTGTTTTTTAGCTTTTGTGCTTTAACACTGATACAGTACCCAGGCTAGCTAACTTCTGTGCTACTTAAACATGCTTTTCTTTTCTTATCCACGTAATAAACATAATCTCTAAAAGACAAACAAACCTTTATCTATGATTTTCTACACACCACAGATTTGAGGCGTTAACCAAGCATAATTACAACATCACCACTGAGCAGATCTTTGATATGAGACAGCTTCCAGTGTGTGGAAAGGAATCAGGAATAAACTTAGGCTCAAAGTGAAGAGCACAAAGTTTGATCATGTTAAATAACTCATAAAAGTGACAAGTACATTTATAATTAGTTCTTCCAACATCGCTGTTTAAATATCTGAGGCCTTTTCACTTGAAATCTAGAGGAAAAGGAAGGAAAGAAAAGGAAGATCATGAAGAAACCACGATGAAACAAACCAAAAAAAACAAAACAACTAAATTTAAAATCGGAGAGCAACCTGTACTACCAAATGTCAAAGTGGCATATTAAAAAAGAAAGTACTTTTACTGCCGTCCATGTTCACTGTACTATGTATTATTGATTGAACAAATGTTCAATATTGATATTAACCCTTGAAGCATCATCATCACTGATCTGCTTGTATCCATGTTAGTGTTTAAAGTCCAACACCTCCCTCTAGTGGCCACATATAAACCATGCGTGAGGATGGTGTTAATGTAAGATGTGAGTCATAGTGTTCCAGTCAGTCATCAGTGTGTCTCTGCACAGCTGTAATTAAAATGTGTTCAGAGGGCCTCGGTGTCTGAATGGCTCCAGTTCAGCTCCATAACAGCAGCGTCCCTGGTTTGATTCCTGTGCTTCAGCTCATATCTGCCTCTCTCACTGAGGGGGACGTAACTACATGGACATGGATTTGTTCATCAACCAAACTACAGATCACTGAGAGCAGAGGACATCTGATTTATTTAATGAAGTTGAATATGATGCTTTTGGGCATCATAGACATGAATTGTAATCTCACTGGTCAAATTTAGATTATGTCACAACAGTGCACAACTTAAACTTTTTTTACATGTCCAAGTCCTTGTACATAAGTTTAAAAGAACAGAATTGTGATTCATTCTTTTTTGTTTCTGAAATAAAATTGAAGTGTACCCTTAGATATATGTTTACATTATTTTATAACTTCTATTGTTAAAAAAGGAAAAAAAAGTCAGTTACCCACCTCTGTGTTTGAACCAATAGAAAGCTGGTGCTCAGAGGAAGAGGGCGGGCTTTA